TCAAAGGCTGTGGGTTGTTAAGTCCAAAATCTTTGTTTTCCTCACCTACCTGCCACCTGTTGTGGTTAAGAGCCAAAGCTGCTTGTAGTAGCTTTCAGCTTCCTGTCTCCCAGTAGAGGGTGGGATAGACTGGTCAATGCTGACAGCCCCTTATAGTGGGGCTGGTGCAGAGTTCTAAATTGCTGAGGTTTGCTCTTGGGTAACCCTTGGAACTCTGTTAGTGGGTATTTGAGATTAGTTCACACACCCTATTGATGGAGAGATGCCAATTTCTGCTGGACATTTTGGGCACCAGCACAAAAGGAGCTCTTTCTCCTGTGTCTGGAGTCTGTATGTACTAGGCCCAATTTTCTTTGTGCCTATTTCTGTCACACTGGTCCAGGAAGACTCTGGAGTTCATAATAGGTGGGCAGCTGGCAACTTCCTTCATGAATTCCCAGTCTCTTGCCTCTGCTTGTGGCTGTGTATCACTTATAGATGGTTCCCATGCTGATGAACCCATTTCCTTCTGAAATGTTGGCCAAGAAATTTTGGTTGTTTTTCACTTAACATCTTTCCCCACTGACTCTGGGTTCATTAAGATCAACCTCCTTCTGTATTCTACAGATTACCCCAATCCGTGTTTGTTGTTGTTCTGCTACACATTCCTCTCTACCTGTGTTCTACCTCCCCTGCCATGCTAAGGCCTGCCAAGCTGGCACATCTCTAATGTATTTTTTTCTTATGTTTACACTTTCCAATTTTCTGCATCTCTATGGTTTCTTTTACTCTCCAGTGTTGAATTTCAGTGAGTTACCTTAGTTACTCCCCTCACTGAGAAGCAGTCTTACTGCTTTTGAAGTCTGGTGCTATGGTACTGCTGGGAAGTGCACTCTTCCTCTAATCCCCTATCATCTGAGACCCTTACTTCCTTCTCCTTGAACTTTTGAAGATGCAGTTACATTATCATGTAACTTTGAAGACTGTTCTGAATCTGAACCTTCATACCTCTTCATTTGTGTGTTTTATATTTTTCCCATGAACAATTTTGAGATCTTTCTCAGAATATGCAAATTTCATCTGATTTTCACATCATCAGATGATGAGCTTTGATGTGGATCTCTCACCACTGAGCCTGCTATTGGTGAGTCAAGAAACCCATTTTGTTTTTGTCAGTTGCAGCTATTTTCTTGAATTAGGTTTCTGTTAATTTCCTTTTCTATGATATTTTTGTTCTTCCTGGCAATATACTTATTCTGAAGTTTGAATCCTCAACTAAACTGCATTTCTTTTCTCCTATTTTTCTCTTTGTATTTTGTTAAATTTTTCTTGGGTATATACTCATCTTTTCATTCAAGTTTTTTATTGATCTTTGCTTTTGGCCTTGATTTTTATTTTGCAAGAGCTCGTTGTCATGTTTCTGTCATGTTTGCCAAAAAATCATCTGCAGAAGTTGGGTAGGAAGAATTGTTTAGAGGTAGGATGTGGAGGAGAGGAAGGGACTGCTTCTGAATCATTCATAATTCTGTTTTTAGCTCCAATTTCAATGACATTTTGAATTACCTAGTTCTACTAATTCCGTAGCCTTTCTGGAGTTCTAGGGTTTCTGTAGTACAAATCCAGTTGCAATGTTCAAAGTTTCATATCATTTCTCTCATTGGTTTTGTGCTTTTATCATTTTCCTCTTTTTATTTTTATAAATTCTTTAACTGTTTTACAGGTGTTTTAGAATGGAACACTGGTGAATACATGCATTCTTTAAAGACCTTAACGATGATTTCCTTCCCCAGTCTTATTCCACTCAAATTTACTTTCACATATCTACTCTCAGAGTAGTCTAAGAAATGATAATTGTTCTCATCTGTTCATTCTGATTGGCCAATGTAAATTTTGGTGTTTTACTTAGATTATCATGTATAATCTAACCCCTGCTTTTTTTCAACCTTACCTCTTGTTTGCAGCATTTCTTTTAGAGAAGTATTTATGGTTGTTCAAAAACCCAATATTCTTTCCTCTTCCATATTTTTGGATGAACAGTTTCTTCTCCTGGAGTACCCCACCTCTTCATTATCTGCCTTACAGTGGTTCCTGTATTAAGATGTAATTTAACAGCTATCTCTTCTTTTAAACCTTCCTTAACTCATCATTCTAGTAGTTGTTTATCATCTTCTTTGTATCCATACTATTTATTATATTACCAGCATTTATCATACAGTATTGCAGTTACTTATTTATATGTCTGATTCCTGGAATTTGAGTTTCTACATAGAGATTATGCCCTAATGATTTCTGTGTTTTCAGGATTTAGCTATGCTTTGCATTGGCTTGGTGTTCAATATGCATTTTCTATTCATTTGTGTTGTGATTTGTACACAGTACACTATATTCAGCTTTTGATGGAGAAAGAGATACAAAGTTGAGAGATGTGTCCATGAATATCTTTCAGTGTTATTAAATATTCTACATTTTAATGGCTGGTAAATATTTCATTTTACATATATGCTAACCTATTGATGTTTCCAAATGTTTTCTTTTTTCAAATTGTTCTACAGTAAACCTAGATGTAGGTAAGGTTTAAGGCACATCAGTGATTACTGGACATAAATATAATACTTAGAAGTTAAAAAACTAAGTCAGGAGTAATGTCTGCTTTAAAAACTTTTGATTTATATTTTCTTTCAGGTCAGTTGCACTGATTTATATTTTCAACAGCAATTCATTATTAGTGTACTCACTCCTTCCAGTACTTCTGTAATCACTACCATCACCAGAAATCATCATCATTCCTTGCCAAAATTTATAGTGAAAATAATATTTCTCTGGTTTAATTTGCATCATTCTGGTTACTAATATTTTTAATGCTTAAAAAGTTTATAAACATATTGAGTATCATCTTATAGATTGATCACTTGTATCTTATGACCATTTTTCTGTTAATCTGTTTTTTTCTCCTACTGCCCCAATTATTTTTCTAGGAGAAGGAGATATACTATAACAATATTTATAAGAGTGCAGTGTTTACTTTGACAGTGAATTTAATGTTATATGGTAATATTTATATGTATAACTTAAAAAGTAGTAATTACATTAGAAAGCTGTGTTTGGTCTTAGTGATGAAATTTCTATTTTTATAATCTTCTATACAAATGTTTGAATTGTTACCAAAAATATTTGCAAGTAGGCTAAGTTGAAGAAAACATCTGTCCCCAAATCAGAATGAGACTGGCTGCAACAATTTCACCAGTATCTTTTATGGGGAACAAATCACTTTTAGAAAATATTTTTAAGCACGCAAATATATAATTTTAACCATTAGCCACTAAATTAAGTCTTTAGTGTATACACACCACACAATCCAATTTTAGAATGTTTCCATTATCCCTCAAATTTTCTTTTGCCCACTTGTAGTTATTCTCCATTCCTATCCCAAATCCTGGGCAATCCTAATCTACTTTCTGTCTTTATAGATTTGTTTTTGATGGAGATTTTATGGAAATAGAATAATATGTTGCCCTTTGTATCATACTTCTTATGCTTGCGATGTTTTTTACAAGGTTCATTCATGTTATAACACATATTAGTGCTTAATTTCTTTGTATTGCAGTGTAGCATTGTATTTTATTTACATATCACATCTTGTTTATTGTGAATGGAATTGTTTTCTTGTTTTCATATTTATCAATATAATTTAAAAAAATAATGTCAAGGGCTGGGGTTGTGGCTCAGTGGTAGAGTGCTTGCCTAGCATGTGTGAGACATTGGATTCAATCCCCAGCACTACTGTAAAAAAAAAAACTAAACAAAATAAAGGTATTGTGTCTATCTACAATAAAAATATTTTTAAAGTAAAAAAATAAAAATAATATCAAAATATGTATGACACATTCCCTCCTGCCACACACACAAATTTTGGCTACTGCTAGCATTTTACTTCTAATGTGATATATGATTTAATATACTGGGAAAAAGAAGAATCACTGATGCTTATCATGGGACTAGAACTCTGGGCAATAATTACCTTAATGCATTTTTTTCACGTAAGGAATGAAAGTCTTTAAAAATTTTAAAGTATGTTAATATATAAATAGTCCTGGGAATTCAATTAGAAAACATGACAAAATATTTACAGTAAAGTTCTCTTAGTAACACTGACTTGTGATTCTTGACATTTTATTGATTTTCAAAATTGTTATAAATGTACTCCTTTACACTTAATATTTATCAATCAATCAGCAAATTAGTAAAATGTGCTTATGTTGACACTTATGTTCTTGAGTTAATAGTTTGTTGTAGTGCTCATTTGTGTTTCTGTCACATTAAAAAAGCTTAATTAGAGAAAAAAAATTGCACCATGCAATTAGTTATTACCAAAAAGCGGGGGGGGGGGGGGGTTACTTTGCTAGCCTCAACATAACACTGTGTTTTTCTAGGCTTTTAGTAGAGAGCCATCATTTCAGTCACTTGTTGAAGTGTGATCTTGCAGAATGTTTATGTTATAAGATAGGATATGGTATTATACTTTAAATACTGAATAAACATTAGGGCTGTTCTGGTTGACTGGAATTTTTAAAGAAAGTATATTTAAGTTTTCATAAAATTTTTCTTTCTTTTGGGCACTAGTTATTGGTTATCCTCTAGTAAGCATTAATTAACACTAAAACAAATGACCAAATTGGTTGATGGTAGTACAAAAACTCAGATCATCATGCTTATTTCAACAGCTTATTTTTACTGGCAGAAAATTACACTTTTAGGCTGTAATTGGTAACTCGAACAAAACACAAATGTCAAGTAGACTGTTATTTGCCTTGAAAACTAGGAGAACAGATAAAGAACAGTGTTGTCCACTGTTTTCATAGTTTTCAAAAAGTAGATGAATGTGTTTTTTCTTCTGTATTTTCTAAAACTATTTAAATTGATATGTAAAGTTTTGTAAATAATAGTTTAGGGGAGAATGTGTTATAATGTTTCTGTAATATTTTGAGCTTGGATTAATGATTGTGTGACTTCCTTCCTTATAGGCATGATGCAAAAGAAGGTAGAAGAGATAACAAAGATTTTTGAGGATTTTCAAAGCAAGGAGCAGGAACGCAATGTGAAGATTACCTTTGACTAAAGGCCATATCGTTAGCATACTGATTTTGGATTGTTTCCTATAAATTTTGATGATGTTGACGTGTTTACAGTTACTACTTAATCTTTCATTGCAATAAAATGTGCATGCTCTTTATGTGAATACTCTGATATGAAGAATTATACTATAGTATTCTTCTCAGAATTAAATAAAACTTATATTATCCCCCTTATACAGGTAGCAACCTGTTAGATATTGATTCTGTATGTGTAATACATACCTTATTCTCCTAGAATTCACATACTTCCGCCAACGCACATCTTCCTTCTCTCTCCAACTAAAATGTGGAGAGATGTCTGCCCAAAAGTACATGCCAACCAATCTTTACTGTGTGCTAGTTAGATTCAGCATTAAGTATGATATACTGTAAAGTCTCTCTCTTCAATGGAACTTAATGTCTAGTTTGAGATAAGATTAGTTTCCATCTGTAAAATGAATGTAGACAATACAAGGAAGTATGTTATGCATTATAAATGTATGTTATTGAAATTCAGAGAAGGGCCAAGTGTATGGTGGCTTATGCCTATAATCCCAGTGACTCAGGAGGCTGAGGCAAGAGGCTCCTAAGTTGCCTTGGCAATTTAGCAAGACCCTGACTCAAAATAAAAATAACAAGGGCTTGGAGTATAGCTCAGTAGTAGAGTGTCCCTGGGTTAAAATAAAACTCCAGTACCACCACCACCAATGATAATAATAAAAAGAAAAATTCAGAGAAGGAAGGAATAGTTAGGATGAATTTGTGGTTTCAGTTGGATTTTATGTTTTGTTGGGTGTGTGTGTGTGGTGTGGTACTGGGAATCCTACCCAGATTCTCACACATGCTGGGCAAGTGCTTTACCAATGAACTATACCGCATATTTGAACTAGGTTATGTTTTAAAAGAGCAAGGTTCAGGCAATTTAATTATTGTTTTATTATACACATGTCCTGGTATTTATTTGATTTTAGCATATGATTTATAGTTATTGTTTTTTGTGTATTTCTTTATTTGCTTTTCAAGAAAATGCCATGTTCTTAGCTTTGGAACATTCTAATCTCTTGTATTTCACTTAAATCATAAATAAATGTGATGCTCTACTAAATGAAAACACAACACTAAAATAAAATTAACCACTTAAAAGTTTTTAAGTTACTGGAGCTCAGCTGCCTATAATTACTGAGCTAAATTTCTGTTGTCCTGTCTTCACATGACCATTCTGAGGGGTATATTACAGGAAGAAAAATATTTTGAAGTGAATGTTAGTGATAGTGATTATTAGTGATTAGTCTTATGGATATGCTAAATGCTAGAACTTGCATGGTGTCTCTTTCATATCCAAACTTTTCCAAGAAGCCACTTCTTACCCAGGTAAGTTTTTGTACCACTCAGAATTATAAATGTAAAAGTAATTCAGAGACTGTTTATTTTGTGAATGATTTATGTAGGTAAATATAACTTTTGAGTAGAATCCTGAATAATATCTAATTTTTGAGTTCATATTATTACTACTATTATCTCCTACATAAAAGACATTTACCACATTGTTTATGGAGATTCAATTCTTATACAGTAACCACAATATAAGTTCTATATTCAGTAAAGAAAAAATAGTGTTTTGAGAAGAAAAATGGTTTTAGTCTTCTCTTTACCCAATTAACTGGACAAATAACTTTTTTGTGGGCATTATATTTTGTCTAAAATGCATTGTCTCATATTGTAATTTTTCCAACTGTTTTTTGAAAATAAAAGTAGTTTTCAATTCTCCAATGTCTCAACATTCTTTTTTTTTCTCTGCTAGCAGAGTACTTACTGTAAATTTAAGTAAGATAAAATGGAGGCTAAAGTACTGCTTTCACTATCTTGTTGCTCTGTTTTCTTGGGGAAGTCTAATATTTTTTTTTCCAGTACATGGAATATGCTGGAGAATGGCAAGTGGCTTCCAGAACAATTCAGTAATGCTGTTAAGACTTACTGGGGAATCTCAATGTACTGTCTGAAATCTAGTTCCTTGGACTAAATCATTTCTAAGGTTACTTCTGATTCTGGTTCTAACATGTCATTGTTGAATAAATATTAATTTAAAAGATCAGCAATAACTCATTTTCACAGTAATGTTAAAGCAACATTTTTGTTAGGCACAGGAATTGTGAGCCCCTCCTAGCCATTGTTAACCAGCTAAGAGATTAGCTAAACAAGAATTTTAAAATTTGTTATGTTGACACTTTCAGTCCACATACATTTTTGTCCTTTAAAAAGGTGCTATATTTATTCTCCCTAACAGCACTTATGCTATCTCATTTAGGAAATTTGAAAGACATGCTCAGTTGTTGGCTCCTAATATTAGAAGATAAGTAGATTCAAGAGAAGATCTTTTAGTTTTAACATCTTTCATATTTTGGAGTTATAATTGTTTCCCAATGTATTCATCAGAGGTGTGCTGGAAACAAAAAGCCCTTAAAAAAGGACAAACTCTGAAAACATGTCTACTTTAAGGAGGAGCTTAATTAAACTAACCTTGTTAAATTGTCAGAAAGACAAATGAGGCATATTTTTCAGTTTGTCATAAATTGTTCTGGGAGGGAATTTGTGAAAATGCTTCACGGTAAGCTCCCTGACCACATATATCATCTGGAGATTTCAAAGCTTTTTATACTTTATCTACTATCCTTTTAAGGTGGGGAGACGGATGCTGTGAGAAACAGAATAGCCATTATTACATAGTTAAGTTTGGTAGAGGTAGAAATGGCCTTATTTTCCTTCTAGTGCAATTTTCTGAATGTCCCTTGGTACCTACACTTGGTACTGGCTACAGTTATGTACAGGTACATAAAGTATTTCTCATGACCTTGCTTTCCAGTTGCAATTCCACAGCTCTGTAAGTATGTCTTTTAGCCATTCATTCTTCACTCATCCCACCTAGTGGATTTGTAGTGTATTGTATATCACTTTCGTACCAATAGACTGTATTTTTAAAAATTTTTTTAGTTGTTGATAGATGTTTATTTTATTTTTTTTATATGCAGGGCTGAGAATTGAACCCACTACCTCTCACATGGCCAGGCAAGTGTGCTACCGCAGAGCCACAGCCTCAGCCCCAGTCCCTAGACTGTATGTTTTTATCAGAAGTATACAAGTTTGGTGTGATGTTTGTTCCACTTTTTGTCATCTTCCCAGAAGGCCAACACAGTAGCAAGCTTGGCACATTTTCCCATTTCCTCATGGAAAATTTTGCCAATTGAAAAGTTTGGTTGAGCAGCAGAATTCAATTCTACCACCTGACAGGATTTACCGGATGCAGGCTTATGCTGCTACCCACATTTTTTATGCTTACATTAAGCCTCTGATCTGTCTCTAAGCTGCAAAGTGGTGCATGGTATGTATACTTGTGTACTCCAAGAGCACAGTCATTTGCATATACTAGATGTTGGATAAAAGGCACCATACTTTCAGTCTGCTGGAAGTTATCTGGATAGCAAATATAATGGCGGGGGGGAGTTGTTTCGTTTTGTAGCTTTGGTTTTTCTCTGAGTGTGGCAATACAAAGGAGTTTGAATAAGTATGAACCTACTGGATAAACTTGGAATATTTACTCATAAATAACCACCCCATCATGGCATGACTTTAAAAGCATACTTTGTGTAATGCTTCACAGTTGCCCTATTCTTCTGAGGTATTATCTCTGTTTTACTAAGGAAGCTGTCATTGATCAGTTGAAGAAACTTAGTGAAACTCACATACTTAACAACGCAAAATTTTAAGTCCAGATTGCCTCCGAAACCCTGCTGTACTAGGAGAGTAACTAAGATCAGAGTAGGGAGGAAGAACAGGAGAAGAAGATTAACATTTAACAAGGATGAGAGGTGGGAGGGAAAGGGAGAGAGAAGGGAAATTGCATGGAAATGGAAGGAGACCCTCAGGGTTATACAGTGGAGGGGGTAGAGAGAGAGGAGGGGAGGGGAGGGGAGAGGTGGGGAGGGGGGAGGGTGGAGGATGGGAAAGGCAGTGGAGCACAACAGACACTAGTATGGCAATATGTAAATCAATGGATGTGTAACTGATGTGATTCTGCAATCTGTGTATGGGGTGAAGGTGGGAGTTCATAACCCACTTGAATCAAAGTGTGGAATATGATATGTCAAGAAATTTGTAATATTTTGAACAACCCACAATAAAAAATTAAAAAAAAAAAACAGAACTGAGATTAAAGCCCAGGCAGTGCAATCCCCCAAGTACACAATGTTTTTTCTTCTTTGATTCCTTATAAAATAAGGAAGCTGCTCTTTAATTGAAAAATATTGACTAGGTAATATAGTCATTGAAAGGAATGAGAAAACCAGAGACAGGCAAGCGAGAAATGAAGGATGGAGACCAGGCAGAGATCCACATGAAAGTTTATTTGTCAAAGCTGACAAAGGCCATCTCACAATAAAGAGAGAGGCCCCAAGATATTCGGGTGTTCAGGTTTTATGGGGTAGGTTCTAGAGTTGTAGTGGTGACTCTATGGGATAGGCTGTGTGTGTGTGTGGGGGGGGGGTTTGTGTCAGAGCTAGGTGGCATGGAATAGCATGGAATTTGCTTAGGGTTATGGTACCATGGAATAGGTCACTAATGGGGGTGGGGGGGAGTTCCAGTAAGAGGAAGTACAGGAAAGAGAAACTTATAAGATGGCAGTTAACATTTAAGGTGGCTGCTCAGATGTTAAATCAAGACCCTATAGTCATGTGGTTCAAAATTCAAAGGACATGAAAATCCAGACAATGAAGAGTTTTTCCTGCCCTTGTCCTTCAGACATCTAGTTCCTATACCTGTGAGCATTCACTACTACTATGTGTTCTCCCAGAGATACTTTGTGCATATGAAAGCAAACACATCCACCCTTTTTACGCAAATAGAAACATAGACTATGTATTATGCTTAACCTTGCTATTGCACTAAATATATTTTGGAGATTGTTTAGTAGTCCATTAAGGACCTTGCTTCCTTTTAATTTTTGCATAGTTTGTTGTTGAATAAATAACATTTCATGGATATCTGTTTCCAGTATTTTGCTATAAACTGTCACAAAAATAATGCATATGTTTGAAGACATAATATGTTGATATTATAAGTACTGAATTACTGCTTTAAAGGAAATGTGCAAACGTGGAATATATCTTTAAAACATAAAGGGAATGTGCAGTTGAATTTCACTAGTATTCTTCAAAGAGGTTTTTACTTACCAGCAATGTATTGGAGTGTCTATTTCCCATCAGTCTCAACAAAACAAATATGTTGTCAAAGTTTTGTATCCTTCCCAATCTGGTATGTGCAATACATTATTTTTAATTTACTTTCAAAACATAAACTTTAGGTTTTTAGGACAGTTTTAAATTTGCATAAAAGACATATTACAGTGTTCCATATGCCTCCACTCAGTTGCCCTTAATGTTAACATCTTACGTAACTTTGGTACATTTGTCACTACTACAGAAACTTATTAATAGAGTGCATAGTTTATTTACATCAACTTAGTTTTTATCTAGTGTTCTCTTTTTTAATATTTACTTTTTAGTTGTACACAATACCTTAATTTTGTTTATTTACTTTTATGTTATGCTGAGGATCGAACCCAGGGCCTCGCACGTACTAGGTAAGCGCTCTACCGCTAAGCCACAACCCCAGCCCTCTAGTGTTATCTTTTTCTTCCAGGATCTTATCCAGGACACCACATTACATTTAGTTAATCATGTCTCCCTGGGTTTCTCGTGGCTGTGACAGACTCTCAGACTTTCCTTGTTTTTGATGATGACCTTGATAGTTTGGGGGATTACTAATAGTATAGTTTGAAATTTCCATCTCACTTGTAAGTAAATATCTTTTTTTTACGTACATGATAATAATGGAATGCCTTACACTCATTATTACCCATTTACAGCACAATTTTTCGTAACTTTGTATATAAAGTATGTTTACGCCAAAATTATGCCATTATATATATATATATTATATATATATATTCCTTTTTTGCATTGCAATTCTTAATACACATATATACCACAATTTTTCATATCTCTTTGTATATAAGGTATGTTGACACAAAATTCAAATCTTCATACATATATTTTGTATAATGATGACCATCACGTTCCCCAATCCTTGCTTTTCACATACTTAAGGATGTACATTTCCTTTTGGGGACTAAGAGTCCATGCTTTTAACCACCTCTTTCTTGATTCATAATAATTACCAATAAATCATTCAAGAGCTTGAATACACAATTTCTGACTTCAAATTGAGAGAACTTAGAATTCCCTCTTACAAATACAAGAGGATAATTAATGCAAGCAATTTTTTCAGACTTTACCTTCATGGTTACAATACAGAGGATTGACTAGAAGGTTCGTTGGAAACAGAGGTAGGCCATATAAAACCTTGAAAGGGAAGCAGTGTTGCCAGCCATGGTGGTGGAAGCCTATGATCCCAGTGGCTTGAGAGGTTGAGGCAAGAGGATGACAAATTCAAGGCCAGCGTCAGGAATTTTGCAAGGCCCTAGTCAATTTAGAGACCCTGTCTCAAAACAAAAGAGCTGGGGATGTGGCTCAGTGGTTAAACACCCCTGGGTTCAATCCCCGGTACCAAAAAAAAAAAAAAGTAACGTTGAAAGAGTCAAGAAGTCCTAGCTGACTCCCAGGTTTATGAGATGTATATTTGGGGTGTTATCTTTAACTTAAATAGACCAGTCACTGGAAACCTACTTTCTGTCTCCATTTCTATAAGGCTCTGTGCTA